TCCCACGGTTTTCCTATAGACAATTTAATAGGAAAAATAATGAAGTTTCCCACCAACAATCAGTGAGAAATATTATTAGTAATTTTTATTAATTTTAATACATTAGCCAGGGAATTAATGGGAAAAATTCACGGGGAGCTGAAAATAAAGTATAAACTTTCCCACTGATAACCGTGGGAAATATGCAAGTTCTGATAAATAAAGTATGAACATTCCCACCGATATCCGTATGAAATATGTTAATTCGAAAAATAAAAGTATAAACTTTCCCACCGATATCAGTGGGAAATATGCAAGTTCTGTAACTAAAGTGACGAACCTTCCCACGGAATCAGTGGCAATTCCTTGGGAAATCTGAAAATTATTTTTTGTGCACGATGCTGCTTTTTATACTGCACCACCTGACAAATAAAAAATACAACCACCAACAACCTAAATACAATTAAATATTCACACACAAAAATCAGCATCTTCCGATCCATTTCATTCATTAACAACCAACCAAAACTGAAAATACTAGAAACCAATAATACAACTAACATTCAAATAAGAAATTCAGCATTCAATCTTATCCAATTGATAAATAATATCCAACATCATAGTCCCACCCAAAATCAGATTAATAAAAGAAACTACTCCTTAGTCTTGTTAAAGCGTGATGGAGAACGTGGTAGAGGAAATGCACCAGATGCTAAGAGGTAGTTTAGCTGGGCCTTGAGGCTTTCAACGTCACCAGTGACACGTGTAAATGCAGCATCCTTTCGCCTCTCCTCTTCCTCCCTCCGCCTCTCCTCTTCCTCCCTCCGCCTATCTTCTTCCTCCCTTCGCTTTGCCTTCTCCTCCCGTGCAATCCTTTCCTTTGCATACAACTCAGTGATCTCTGCTATACTTCTATTCAATAGCTCAAACTCATCCTGATTAATCGAGGAACTTAAGGAAGAAGAGCCAGCAGATCCAAAAGACCGACGACTAGAACTAAACTCTGATCCAAGGACATAAACTCTTTGTTTATGTACGCCACCGGCCGCCTTAATCCACAAGTCCATATTATTCTCCTCGGATGGTTGGATTGGCTTTCCTTGATCATCAGTTGGTTGGCTTTGAATGAACTCCTCCAAGAATTGTTTGAAAGTATCCTGCAAAAAAGTTACAACTATTATATGAACAAATTTAATTAATGAAAAATATTAAGTGAAACTATCTTAATAGATGGAGTAATTATCTCTATAAGTCTAATATTAAGTGAAGTAAACTTAGGTCCTGTGTCGAGAACATGTCTCTATGGCTAACTGCTAATTTGTAGTAGTTCTTGAACAGAATGTGAGGAGATTGCAGATGCTAAAGAAACAAAAAGACACTTACATACTACATAAACACAAACAGTTGTAAGCAGATGCTAAAGAAACAAACTTACCAAGTAAGAGAAAAAGATAATAACTTGGATCTGAACAAAGACACAACATATTCTAAAATCGTTAACCCCTTTTTCAACAGGAACAAGATACAGTTAAACAAGGTGAGAAATTAAGGGGGTAATACAAGTGATTAGTATATACATTGCATTCAATTCAAGAACACACAAAAGCTAGATTTTCATGGAGCAACCCTAGATTTTTAGCCATTTAGGGTAAAATCAGAAAGGGAGAAAGAAAGGGGGAGGGGGGATAGCGACTGAGAGAGAGAGAGAGGCGTCACTTACCTGTGATTTTGCATGAGTGAAAGCTCTAGGGCAAGAATGGAGGTTTCTGCCAAGAGAATGAGAGAGAAAGAGAAGAATGAGAGTGAAAATTAGAAGAGAAGAAAATAAGGGATATACGCCTAATGTAAGGAAAGATATTCCCACTGATTCCCTAGGTATATTTGTGGGAATTGTCTTATATAAATTTAATTTTTTTGGTGAATTTTTTTCTAAGCTCGCGGTTTTTGCCAAAGTTTGAAAATTTGCGCTTCCCACCGCATCAGTGGAAAATATTAAAATAATTTTTTATCCGGGATTCCAACTATTTCACTGGATATAGTTTAATAATTTTATTTTTAATGACATCCCACTGATTCGGTGGGAAAAAAACTGCGTGCTTTTTTGCGCCAACTAGTTCCCACCTATAGTCTGTGGGAACGTTTTTAAAAAAAAGGTAAAAAAAATCTTTTCCATTTCCCACTGATTTTTTTTTACATTTCAGCGGGAACTGCCACTGATAATATATCTGTGGAAAATTTCCCTGGGAAATTTGCATTTTTCTAGTAGTGATATATTATAATGAAGGGAATATTTATACGATGAATAATAGCAGAATTTTTTTTTTTTTTTTTTTTTTTTGCGGTGCATAATATAGTAAGAATTATTATGCAATTAACAATACCATATAGAATGTTATTTAGGAATTACTTACTCTAAGATCGCTTTTTAGAGCTCTAAATACTATTATCCTAGTATTACTAGCATGTGTATTTACTCCACATTGTGTCCATCACAAAATTATACATAGATTCTAGCATAATTAATGTGATGTTATTTATCAATAACTAAAAGTTGCATTAGCTATCCATGCGTTAGTTAATTTTTTTCTTGTACGACCAAATACACCATCGTTAGTTGTGAAGGGATGTAGTTTTTCTAGTCCTCCAACCAGATACTATATTATTTTGCACATGATTATATTATGGTATTATTTTTCCTTCCCTCTAGGTGCTAGGATTTTGCCCTGACTTTCTTACCATATTGAATTTTACCTTTTTTTGAAGGAAGGAAAAAGGGTGTACCATAATTCATTTTACTTTTTGTAGAAAAGAAAATATAGATTTGTTTTTCATATCCCTTTACTTGTAGGAAAAGATTGTGCACAATATAATCATTAAGAGAGTCTTGTTTAAGAGAGAATTTACACTCATAAATATTTTTATTTTATAAATGTTAGTAGATTTATGTAGGTCGCTACACCTAACCATATTAATATGATATGCTTTTTAGTATATTTTCTTATCACTCGTCACCAAAGTTTGCTTTGTTAGTTTTCGCATGATGCGTTGTTATTTTCGATCTCTAAAAGTGGTAAGTTCCAGGCGGTTCATATCAAGTTATAACCAATTTGACGATAGAATATTATTCTTATCCAAAAAAAAATAGTGTGATCAGTACTATATATCGAGATGCATTTTCAACCATATATTTTCAATATACGTGTTGCTGCATCTTTAAGAAAAAAATTATTTTTAACTCCTGTTTGTTGGGTCCAATTTTCAACTCATGCTTACTTTTAACGCATAAGTTCCACTTTCAACCCTTGCTTACCTTAACGCATGGGCTCCAATTTTTAGCTCATGCTTACTTTTAACGTATGAGCTCCTATTTTTAATCCTGCTCACTTTTATCACAGGGCTCCAATATTTTTAATCCAATCTCACTTTTAACACGCAGGGCTCCGATTTTTCAACCCAACCGACTTTTAACCATGCCAAGCAGCAATGATGAATCATATGAAGAAGGTGAATTATGTTTGTCAAGAAAAAAATCAAGCCAGAAAGGGATAATTGTTAGAGTTCTGCCCTAATTTTCTTACTATATTGGATTTTACTTTTGTTTGAAAGAAGGGAAAAGAGTTTACCATAATTGATTTTACTTTTTCTAGAAAGGAACATATAGATCTTTTTCATATTTACATACCCCTTACTCGTAGAAAAAAGTTGTGGACCTTTATAAATTGAAAATTCATCTTTCACAACAACATTAACTTCCCCAACGTAGTCATTAAGAGAGACTTGTTTAGAGAACAAAATTATTCTTTAAAAAATTTTAGTAAATAAATATTACTGTAGTAGATTTATGTAGGTTACTTGACCAAACCATATAATATGCTTTTTTAGTATATTTTGTTTTTTGTCTGATTTATCGTCACCAACATTGGTTTGGTTAACTTTCGCACGACGCTTTGCTATTTTCGATCCCAACACTAGGCTCTAACCAAACGACCCTTAAAGTAGCAACTGGAGGAAAATTCGACTTGCCAAAATTGATTTTGTGATGTAGAATGGTAACTACTAAGCCTTAGATTTATGATTAAGTTTTAGTAATGTGATATCATCATAGGTTCAATAGATAAGTTGGGTTTCAAAATTCAACCCATGATATAAGAAAATAAAACTTTGGATTCCCGAAGCAAAATTAGGCGAGTGTAATATTAATGAGCATGGCAAGGAGTGTCTCTAACATTTTTCTGTTTTAAAGTATTCTTATTTTTCTTCATGTAGTATTTAAGATGTTTTAATAGGGAGTTATTTAGATTCTAAAACAATAAACGAAAGTACACAACTTTTATTTATTATCAACGCGCAGTTGACAATTATTTAGCAGAACTGAAAATTTAAGTTAAACTACGATTTTGATTTTCTTCATACATTACTAAAAGCTTTGTCTTCAGACTCTGAATCTCCATTCCAACTGTCCCTTGCATCTGGAATATTAAAAAAATCACTTAGAAAAATGTCAATAGTTTCTTTTAGTCACATAAATTAAAGCTTTTAAGAAATTAAGTTTTTTCTCTTCAAAAACAACCACCCATATTAAGTGCATATATAGACCTTACTTTGGTAGCTCACATTAGCTACTTCAACAAAATTATATTGCTCAGTAAGTAAGTGGGCGTTTGGACATAAGAATTGTAAAATCCCAAAAAAAAAAAAAAAAAAAAAAATCAATTGAAAATAGTATTTGAAAATTAGAGTTGTGTTTGGACATGAATATAATTTTGGGTTGTTTTTGAAGTTTTGTGAGTAATCTGAGTGAAAATTTTGAAAAACAGCTTTTTGAAGTTTTTCAATTCAAAAAATTCCAAAATTCATCTTCAAGTGAAAACTGAAAATTTTATTGCCAAACACTGATTTCGAAAAGAAGTAAAAAAATTTTATGTCCAAACGGGCTAAAAAATGCTTACCACCTATTATTTTAAGGGATAATTATGCCGTTGATCCCTCAATTATTGATAAATACTGGATTTGATCTTTGTAATATTTGGCAAAGCACATTTAATCTTCAATTAATTAATATGTGTGTTTTTGGTCCCTTTGTATAGTCAATATGTGATATTTAGACTATTTTTACAAGTATATTACCGTCAAATATGGAGTAACTATACAAACTTAACAACCCATTGATAATTGGATGGCTTAGCACTAGGTTCACTGTCAGAGGGATCAAAAGTGCACATATTAATTTATTAAATATTATATGTGCTTAACCATAAATCATAATGGTCGATATTTGAGGGACTAATTCCCCTTATTTTAAAGTTACAAAAAGAAGAAAAAAAATGTGACTTTACTTGTACATATCGACCCTAGTGAAATTAACCCAACTCCAATTTGGTTTTGGAGAACTTTTTTCAAAATAAAGAAAATGCCAATTACCTGAAAGTGCAAGTTGTGAAAAATCTTTTCACCAGAAGATTTAAAGGACGTTGCATTTAGCAAAAGATACCCATCTTCCTCTAAAGTTTGGAATACTTGTGAAATTGGAAAACTTGTCTGAGTTGTAGAAATCTGTACCAAAACCTGCCCATTACAGAGTGGACTTGCAGAGATAGATATTGAAGATGCAGAAGAAGTTGTATTTCTCTGATTAATATTATTAGGCTGGACTAATGAACCAGCTTTCTTTGATAAAAGCAAATCCTTTGTTTGACTTAGCTTCTCTATTTCCTTCTTCAGCTCTGGTATGTATTCTTGCACATAAGATATTGTTGCTGGAAAGCTTAGCTTTTTCTGTAATTAAAGAAACATATAAAGGTTAAACAACTTAATTAAATTAGATTTATGAATTATAAAACCAAAGTTTAGGTGATGTGAATCATTGTTGTATATCTTCTTTGCAATCTCCTAATTAGGTATCTAGCTCTCTAATTGATTAACCTTGTACGTCCTTTGAGTCACGTCTGACAAAAAACGTTTACCCTTTGTGAATTTTTTTCAACACAATCATGTCACTATAAGTTCATCACAATATAACAACAAAACCAGTATGTTCCCAACAGGTGGAGTCTGGGAAGGGAAGTCTGTATCCAAACCTTATCCCTACCTAATGCAGGTAGAGAGGTTGTTTCCAATAGACCCTCGGCTCGGAAAGGGTGAGACGAACAAGAAGAAGAAGAAGAAGAAGAAAAGCAAGAAAGGAAGAGAGAAGGAAGAGAAAAGAAAAAGATGGAAATAAAGGATAAGTAGTACAAAAAAATATCAACACGGAATACAATATTTGAGGCCAGTGGCGAAGCCACATGGTCACAAGGGTGGTCAGCTGACCACTCTTCGTCGAGAAATTATACTGTGTATATAGATAAAATTTCACGTTTTAGAGGTATGTAACACATATTGAACACTTTTTGTCTGAATTCTTTTTCCATTTATTTCAAATTTGAACACCCTTAGAAATCGCCACTGCCCGAGTCGAACTAAACCACATAACGCAATAAAAATGTAATAGGGACATGCGTACTAATTGGTAATGTAATAGAACTAGCAAGTAATATGCTAAGAATATATGTTTATATAACTTAAATCTCTGATATAAAGAGACACATAAATAGCAATTAGTATGTAAACTAAATTATTTTCTTACGTATAACGTACTTAAAGAGATAAATACACACTTGATTTTGATGTATCGAAGAGGGAATTTTGTATTACAACTTACAAGATAAAATTCTTATATAGGGATTGTACCTTTTTTAAATTAGCAGGAGGTAGCAGAGAACGAAGAGTGGAATAAAGGAAATTCATCTTCTTCCGTCGATTACGCTCGCTTGCGTTATGGCTTAGCTTCTTTGCCATTAATGACTGATTATCACAGCTATCTTCTTTGTAATATTGTTGCTGATAAGATGAAGGAGAATATTGAATATTATCAATATGTAAACCTTCAAACAAGTCGTTAGTATTCTCATTTTGTAGAATATAATTATTCTGCTGATCATACTTTTGTGCTTCTTCAAAGGACCATTCACTACTCATGTTTGGAAAAATAGAAGAGGAAAAAGCTAGCATTTTGTTGAAGGACAAATAATATTACTTTCCTATGAAATTGGGGAGTGACTCTCTTCCGTATTTATACAAACTGCTGTATCCCTTCATATGTTTTTTTTAAATTTTTTTAATTTTTTTATTTTGATATGTTACAACAACAACAACCACCCAGTATAATCCCACAAGTGGAGTATGGGGAGGGTATGATGTACACAGTCTTAACCCTACCCTGCAAGTAGGGGTGACAAAATGGTTAAAAGAAAACAGTTAACCACCCATATTATCCACTAAAAATTGGGTTGGATAATGTACTTTTTAAAAACGTGTCAAATATGGATAAGAACCATATTATCCATTTAGAAAATGGATAACCAATGAGTAACCAATGGATAACCAATGGGTCTAACTTTTATATTTGTAAAGTCTCAAATTGGGGGTTCCTCAAGTTGGGAAGACTAAGAATTCTCCCAAAAGTGATCATATACAAGAAGTCATGGATAATATGGGTAACCCATATTATCCGCCGGTGAACCTGTTTTTTATCCGTATTAAATACGGGTCGGGTAGGATAATTGATCAGAAAAGGGTCAAATATGTCCCTGTACTATCGAAAATAGTTTAAATATATCATTCGTTATACTATCTGGTTATATCAGACCCTACCGTTATACTATAAAACAAATATACCCTTATTTTTAATGGAGCGCCACGTGGCTGCACCAGATTAAATTGACCCATTCTTTTTGTTTTTAACCCGGTTCACTTACAAAAAAAACTACCCGTCCCAAGGTTCACTTGTTAGTGACAAAAACAAGAAATAAATGATTGTGAATAAATTAGCCAAAACAGTAAAAAATGGATTGTACAGAAGCTTCAAAATAGAACATACAAAGTAACCCGATGAAGCAATAACAAAACTGTGATGAGACCATGGCAATAGCAAAAAATTTCAATTTCTCCGGCAATTAATAAGTTTGGATATCAAGATTCTGGCAGATTTCCAAAAATCTAATCCCAAGATCAATTAGATTAATTTCGAAACCACAACCCAAAATTTTGGTTTTAAAAAATGAAGCCAACAGAGGCTGAGACACTGCTACAAAGGCATTAGACAATGGAGCACGGTCAGAGGGAACATGTGCGCAAAGGTCGCCGAAAAATTCTTCGGCAAGATTCCGATCAAACACCAAAGTCGGAGTTTCAGCTATCTATTTCGTCTCCCTTCTGGATCGGTAAAATAAAAGGAGAATATGAAAAAGAAGAGCAAATGACTCGCCGGAAAAATGTATTTCCGGTCAGATCCAGTAAAATCTAGACCCAAAACTTTCAGATCTCCAGCCTCTTTTATGTATTTCTCCAAATCCGTATATAAATGTGAATATAGATATAGAGAAAGGCGAAGAGAAGGTGTGAGGTGACAAATCTGAAGGTTTCCATGGTTTACGGCGAACTCGCCGGTGGAGATTCCGGCCATGGAATAACAGTAAGGTGAGGAGAAGAGATGAGGAAAAGAGGAGAGAGAGAGAAGCAGTGGGGTGGGACTTTGGGTCAGGTAGTATTTTTTGTAAGTGAACCGGGTTAAAACAAAAAGTGGGTCAATTTATCTGGTGCAACCACGTAACACTCTGTTAAAAATAAGGGTATATTTATTTTATAGTATAACGGTAGGGTCTGATATAACCAGATAGTATAACGAAGGATATATTTAAACTATTTTCAATAGTACAGGGACATATTTGATCCTTTTCCGAAAATTGATCCGTTTTTTTATTACCCGTTTTCGACCCGAACCATATCCGACCCGATCCGCCTGTTTGCCACTCCTAGCTGGAAGGGCAGAGAGACTGTTTCCGATAGACCCTCGGCTAAAGAAGGTGAAGGAAGCCATGATAACAAGTAATAGCAAGACAAATAATTAGAAAACTAAATCGAAGATAGCAACAGAGAATATGAAAAGGGTACCGATAACAAGTAATAGCACGATAATATATTTAAAAAACTAAATCCAAGGAAACAAACGAGAATATGAACGAAGTAGTACTAGCAAACTATGGAATTACCGATGGCAAGTAATAACGGAACAAGACATGCGAATATAGCAAACTAAGGAAAAAAAAGGTACCGTACTAGCACTAATACTATCGAACTAGAGAAGACAAAGGGAAATGCATGACTACCTACTAACCTTCTACCCTAATCTTCAACCTCCACACCCTTCTATCTAGTGTCATGTCCTCGGTCAGCTCAAGTTGCGCCATGTCCCGCCTAATAACCTCCCCCGAAGACTTCTTTGGCCTACCTCCACGCCTCCTCTCAGCTCCCAAGACCAACCTCTCACATCTCCTGACTGAACAGTTTTGGCACTAATTAGATTAAAAAAGAAAACGTACTTAATATTACTTTAATCAGGGCTGAAAAAAATTAGTTAAGCTATGCACTATACTTGGTGCAGTTTAATTTGGTGTGTTTGGTATAACTTTTCTTATGTAATCAAAAATAAACTAAAGGAATGACTTTATGTAAGTTTTTTTTAAAGATATTATTTGAACCTGGATCTCATGTAAGTAGTTGTGAAAGAAAGAATGGATATATGTACTAGTTATTATAAAGTTAATAAGAAATTAGGGAATACAGAGATTCAAAGCTTAATTAATTAGTTAACAAAGTAAATATAGTCGGGTTCTAGAAACTTAAAAAAGGAATAGAAAAACATATTATGAGTTAAACGATGTCAAATATTTTCGGACATCTCAAGAAAACGATGTCATTTCTGGACATCTGAAAACAAAAAGGATGTCATGTAAATTAAACTAAGATGTAATAGTTTGTTATACAAATAGTTGGCCAGATTCAATATTTAATATTTTTATTCGATATATATATATATATATATATATATATATATATATATATATATCTTCTTAAGAAAAAAAAAATTCTAAAAAGGTTTTCCATGGGTCAGCCCTGTAATACTGGTGGATGCTTATCGAAAGCCAAGGTGTAGATCTCATCCATACCTTTCTCTGCCTATTGGCTAAAGTCAAGTGTAGTATTTGTTTTTTTTTTTTTAAAAGAAAAGATCTCATCCTACTTTAAAATTATGTGAGCTGAAATTAATGTGAAAAGAATAAGGCAACTCTTCCTCCTACAGAATTTGGTAATCCCTCAACAGTTTGTATGCGTATAAGAGCGCGAAAAATTGATGACAGGAGAAAAAGTAGTTGCGAAGAATAACGTATATACATAATTAGGGTTAAACCTTTCTATAACAGTCTGATTTGTACCGAATTTTTTTGGATATTATAGCGAATTGTTGTTATAGAGAACATATATTATAACATAACATAAAAAATGGTTCTATAAAAACTTGACTTTTATAGTGAATGATTGTACTATAGCGATGTTATAGAGAGGTTTGACTGTAGTATTAAATTACGTAATAAAGTTAAACAAAATTTTGATTATCAGTGAATAAAGAGTTAAAACTCGTATGAAATAGCGTGTGCATGTATGGACAACGCAAGCGAAGACTAAGCAAACCATATACAAGCTCGAGCCAAAGTTGCTGGGGCACGTGTGAGGAGTACTTACGTTTCTATACAATATATACTCCTATACCCTTATTATATTAGGGCAACAACCCTTTTTAAAATTCTATATCTTACAATTAATTAATTGATTCCAGAAAATTTGATATCATCATCTAGCCGATCAGCCAGGAATCCTTTCCATTTTTCCTTCTTTGTTTATTCTATGTCTCAATAGTTTACGAATTATTATTGTTTTTTTCAATTTATGTTAAGTTGGTCCAACTATGATTGCACAGAGACGACTAAAGAGAGAGATGGTCTTGCATTTCGGACATATATCTCAACGAATATTTTTACTAATCTATCAAATTTTAATAAAGTAATTATATATAATTTTCATTTGACACAGTTGATTTATCTTCCTTGGCTACTATAGCTGAGGAATTAATCTCGCTACAATATTCATGGATGTATGTTAATTGAAAGTCAAATGAGTACTAAACAGGTGCAAAATTTTCTGACCAAAATATAGTGTCTATTGACAGCTTGTTAATTTGTTTATTTTGCTTATAACACCAACATGATGTAACTGACCCAGACGCTCGTTTTGAGAAATTGCATTCCGTTCAGCTATTTCAAGTCTTGAGCAGTATCGTGATGTATTATGACTTGCGTAAATCATCAGTTTTGATTTTCGGGTTATTCAGAATTGATTTAGAAGAATGATTCTCAACTACGAAGCTTTAAGTTGGAAGAGTTGACCAAGTTTGACTTTTGTGTGTTTGACCCCGGATCGAAGGTTTTATGATTCCGTTAGGGCCGGATGGTGATTTTGGACTTGGGCGTATGCCCGGATTCGCATTTGGATATTTCTAGAAGGTTTCGGCACATTTTGGCGAAAATTGAAAAGTTGGAGGTTTGGAAGGTTGAGAGGTTTGACTGGGAGTTGACTTTGTTGATATCGGGTTTGGAATTCGATTTCGGGAGTTGGTGCAGCTATAGTTGTGTCATTAGGAACTTGCATGCAAAATTCGACGTCATTCCGGGTTGATTTGATATGTTCCGGCACGAGTTTTAGAACTTGAAAGTTCATAAGTCCATTAAGTTCGATTAGGGGTGCGATACGTAGTTTCGACGTTGCTTGATATGATTCGAGACCTCGAGTAGGTCCATGTTATGTTTTGGAAGTTGTTGGTATGTTTCGACGGGGTCTCGGAGCCTTGGGTGTGTTCCGGGTGAGCTACATGTCATTTCCTTCTATTTTGAACTGCTGGTTTCTGTCACCTGGTGTTCTTCATCGCGTTCGCGTAGTGTTATGGTGCCTCAGATACTTTGTTCTTTGAGGCCGCGAAGAGGCAACCACGTTCGCGACGGTTGAAGGATTTATGATATCGTGTTCGCGTTCTTAGTTACGCGATTGCGTATAAGGGAAGCTGGAAGGCCTCATGCCTTTGTTGTCCGCGATCGCGTGAATACAACCGCGTTCACGTAGTGAGCTGGAAGCTGTGTG